TGTGCGCTCAGCCCAAGCGAATTTCCATAACATGCCTCATGGTTGATGTGTTGTAAAAGGCGGTTACCCAAGTTACCTTAGCCTCAGTCAAATTGGACCAGTCTAACAATTTTTCTATGACCTCTCATCAACAAGGCGTTTCTATCAACAATGAGTTTTGATCCGCAGAAGTGCGGCTCCCTGTACATTTTTTTTTTTTTCCATAACATTCCGAGTGAACTAAAGGGCTTTGTGCCTGAAAATCCCCCGAAATCAGCAGTTACAAGAATACTCAATAGTCGGTCTGGCACAAACAATAATGCCAGGTTCGAAATGACTGAGATCACATTTTCCCCCATTTTGATGTAAAGACCAAGTGAAGATCCTAATTTGTGTCTGCATGATTTTATGGATTGCACTACTGCAACCACATGATTGTCTGGTAATAGCATGAGCAAGCAGATCTACAGGTGTTCCTAATACAATCGCTTGAGTAGTTTCTCCACTGAGAATTAAGGTGCCCATACACTGCACGATTCTCGTACGAGAATCGCGTGCGACCGTTTCTACTGTACGGTCGCACGTCTTCCGTCAAACCAGCATGCTAGAAAACCCGCCGGGAATCGTACGATTCTCGGCGAGTTAGTGGCCTGCTGGTTCGACAACTGCCGAACAGGCCGGTGTGCGCACGCGCACACTGCTCGCTACAGTCATCGTAAGCCCGCCCCTCATTACAGTCATCGTAAGCCCGCCCCTCAGGGGGGCGGGCTTGCGATGATCGAGAGTGCGATCTGCCTGTCCAAGATGGGCAGATCGTACGTTTTTTTTAAGTACTTTACAACTATCGCAAGACTAAGGTCTTGCAAAGGTTGTAAAGTGTATGGCCACCTTTAGACACGTACACAGTTTTGCTAATTATTTACACTGTACTTTCCCCATATATACCATTTCCAGCTGCAACGTCCCACTTCAAAAGCAGATTTAACATCTACATTTCTGAATGTGCGCAACAGGACCAAAATTTAGAAGCCTTTTGTCACTGCAACTGATGCATTGTCTGTAGCATAAATCAATTACTAGCGGCAACAGTGGAGTAAGAGTTTTACAACCAGACATCTCAAGACAACAAACTGGTGGATGGATTCAACATTAAAAGGTATACTCCGTAATTGTACCTACTAGGGTTGCACAGATACCAAGTACAGTACTCGGTACAAGTACATGTACCGATACTTTTAAGCTCCAAGACTACACTAGGAGAAAAATTAAAAAATTAGGAGGCCGCTGTCATTTGTAAGGAGCACACGGAGCTCCTGGGATTTGTACATCTGTTTTAATGTACGATTTTGTTTTTATAAATAAAGGGATGCACCGATACAAGCTTTGCGAGTACGAGTACTGGTACTTGCCGAGTACTTACAAGTACTGATACATTTTTGTTTATTGTCATGTGACATTTATTCTAAAACAATATTGAGTAATGATTTCAGGACAGTGGTGGAGCGCCAGAGCCAGGTCCCAGCTGCAACCCTGGTAGTTCTCATGAAAATGCCAAGTAACTGCACTGGTACTCGAAAAGTATCTCTGCATCCCTACTAGCTACCCATTAAAAAGGTACCCAAAGACGTAAATGGAACCTGTACCTTGCAGCAAAAAGCAACAGGTACACTTAACAACCATCTTTCCCAGGTCTACATACTTCCTCTTCATGCCCCAGCATCTAAGTACCTGACACTTCTGGGAATGGGGGACACGAACCATGGGGGGAGTATGTGATCCACCCACTTTAAGAAAAAAAAAACTTGCTAATTCCAGGTATAGGGAACATATGATGCACTCCCCTTCAAGAGAAATACCTGTTACTTCCACCTATGGGGATTATATAAACTACTCCCCTTCTCACGTGACACAACTTGTATTTGAATATTGGCTATTCAAGAACCCTGTGCTGCCACACAGAGAGAGAGTGCAAGTTACTGGTACCCATAGACACAATGATCATCAGTACATCAACAATTTAAAATCTACTGGTTCTGCAGTTAAGTAGTAGAATTCTGACCAAAGTGTGAATAAAGCATAATCAGGAGACATTAGCATTCACAACACAGAAGGAAAGAACCAGAGACACAAATGTTTAACCCTCTTTTTTTAAAGACTATAGCATCTCTAGTTTTCAGACATAGCAGAATATGGCACCTTTAAAAGAGTCTGTGTGAGAAGAGAGCAATATGCATTAATGACAGTGACAAAACTTGATGAGATTAATAGTTGTAGACTCAATAATTAAAATAAAAAGGCAGATAATTACAATTTTCTTTAAAACACGACATTCTAGAAATTTATACAGGCTCACTGAAAAGGGAGATTGAAATCCGTCCCACATGGCTGACAATACATCTAAGCTATGCATTTCCCTGCATGTCAAACCAACACACTTTAAGGCAGGGACTCTGTAAAGTGAAGGTCAGCCTAGTAATACCTTTAACTACAGGTACTCACCAATAAGTCTAGGACGAGGCTCAACAATAATAACTTAATTGTGTATTTGTCAGTATTTAAGTCTGGAAAAAGCAAGGTGGAATTCATTATTTGACTGAATCACAAGGAGCTGGCAATTAATGGATACCCTGCAGAAAACAGGAGATAAAACAAACCCCCCCCCTATTTTCAGGTCCATAGAGAGATTTTGTGTGCGCCCACACACAGGTCCAACCAAATATAAGAATACAGCAGCAAAAAAGTTCTTATCCTGCAAGAGGAGGTTAAAGTTCACGCTGGTCAGCACAATGAAGTCATAGGACATGCACAGTCCAGCGCTTTTATTCTTCTGCACCAGAGTAAGGGAAAAAAAAAAACATACACCCTTTAACTTAAACGCCTTATATCGGATATGTGACATCATACCAGTCCTGATTTAAAGGGAAGGTGCATAAGCATACAACTCGACACCAATCTACTGGGGATGACAGGCTTACAAAAATAACATAACGGCCTCCATCTTTTGATGCCAGCTTAGATTTGAGATCCTTTTGTTAAAACATGCGGCAAAATATTAAATGTGAGGTATAAGAGCAATCAGCAATGTATACAAGAATTTGTACTATGGGAGAAAGAATGTAAAGTATGAGTAGGCCTCCACTGCTCCAAACTAATTTGCAAAACTCCATTAATATAAAAGGCTTTAATAAGACGCCTTTCAAACCAATGGAACTGGGAACTGTGATCTTCCAAACTGATAAAAATGTTCAAGTAGTTATTAGCACCTCTTCTATGTAATAAAGTGCTTTACATGACAGATGAATGTATAGATTTGTGGGTGATGCCATGGTATTATACACTGAATCATATCCAGGGAAACCATCAATTAAAGGATAGCAAATGAGGATCACACAGACAGCGGATGTGGGGATTTTATGCCATGGAGTTAAAGTACAAGAACTTGATCAGTCACGTTGGGAAGAATGGCATTGTACTGTAACTGGGGCAAGGGAATCCATTTATAGGTATGACAGTAGATGTCAGGGCCCAAAAAGAAAAAAAAAAAGAAAAGAAAAAAAAAACAGTCCAAAACGTAATTCAAGGGATTTGCAAAAATGTTTTTAGACGCTATGCTCTACTGGATTGATCCAGGCACTTTAAAGCAGCTGCATCCCTTCCCCATCTCTGTTCAGTTACAGAAATGCCATGGTCATAAGTCATCTCTTTGGGAGAATCTTCTCCGATTTCCAATCAGAAGTCTTCTTTGTGAAATACTTTCCATAGCTGAGAATAAACGCATTTTCACATCCCCAGAAGTACTGAAATACAATAACTCCTATATAAAGTCATGTGTGGCCCTTAATATAAGCCTTAATGCATAAACTGAAGTATGCTAAGCTTGATCTGGATGAAGTGTTCAAGTCAAAATATAACTGGAGGACATTTATGAAAACTGTTTCAAAGGTTACTGCATACAAAGGCTGGTGCTGTTTCGTAAACCAGGCTTACCCCCGTGCTAGTCAGCTGTGTACCACCACCAGCTCATCTCCTGTCAGTACACAGTCTTGTCCCGGAATTCATTCACATACTACCCCATACCTTTCTGCACTCCTTGCATTCCGACCTTCTACACTGACCTCTCTAAAATGGCTCTGGACTCCATATAAAACAGAAAAATCCAGTCCACTGGTGTAATGGACACACTCCCACTACCGACTGTCACAAATAACTCACACATTGCTGGGTTCTGAATTCTGCTGTACACACTCCCTGTCCCAGAGAAAAACACCACAGTAAACTGTATGTGACCTCTCTAGACTACTGCTAAAGACATGAACCAGTAATGTAGAAATAAGAAGCCAATCAGTCCAATCAAGTACCCAGCAGGTAAGCTGTAAACAGGCCAAACGTTCAACAATACCCTGTTTACCCCATTCTTTTAAACTCAGAAAAAGTAACAGCAGGCATGAACACATCTTTGTTACAGACAACTGCTGATGCAATGCAAGGCTGCCATTATTATGACCAAACATTGATGCAACAGTTGGGTGATTGCAATGAAACAGATTGGTACAAATCTGATAGTCATCTTCAGGGAGATCAATTTCGTTACGACCGCAGTGCAATCTAGAAGTGTTTTGCTGCCAAGGTAATCATTTCATGCCTTCTGTTCCTTTTTTAAGTTGAGGTAAACCTGTTGTGGGAGAGAAACAGAGGCTACTATAGTGGATCTCATCTCCTATGCTAGCTGTCCAACTGGAACGCTGAATCTTTTGCTTCAATCCTGGACTCACTGACCTGAAGCAAGTATGCTAATAAGGATTTCCAACTTATCTCGGACTTTCCTCATCAACATACTAGTTTCAGACCAGTAACTTTAGGTATTATACCTAGTGGGTCAGCATAACTGCTAGGCAGGTAGCATTTTCATAAGGTCAGCAACAGCAGCCGCTGGATATCTCCCATAGCAGGTCTATTTTAAAAGGGACCCTTTGGATCTGCTTTGAGTAGTCAGTGATCAGTCCTCCACAAATTATAAGTAAAAATGTTTTATGTATATATCAGCTAGCTGGCTGACATTCGTCCTGGTAAAGATTTTAAGATATAACTATTTGCTGAGGTCAATAACATTTATTTCAGAGTCACCTATAGAAGTGTTCTCATGAATGTCCTCCAAATAGCGCTATATTACTGCTCAGCAGGTCCGCATGTTGCTAAAATCGGATAGAAAACAAAAACGAGAGGTGCAAAAAGCCCACATCATATCTGCAAGAAGACATGTAGTGTAGTAGATGCCATACATCCCCCAGTAATGAGAAATGCAATAGGGAGCTGTGATACCAGTTTCTTATCCATTCTGACTGGTACATTGTGTTGGATATCATTGAAGGTAAAAGATACTACGCCTTTCATCTCCTCTCCACTGAAAGTCTTGTCTAGAAGGAAGCTGAGTGTATGGGGTGTACAGGTGCCTTTATTTGCCGGCAGCAGGGGTGCAGCACTCCCAATTCCCACCCTGAGCACCATTAACACTGTGCTCACAAGGATTTGGTAACTGCTATGTGAGAGCCCAGGTTTTCCTGCAGGTAATATAGAAGGTGCAGTTCATAATGTTCTCCTGACTCAGGAACCCGAATACTGTGACGCTCCTGAGGATAGATCTGTAAAAGAAGAAGTACTTCACTAGTATACAACAAAACGGGGCGAATCAAAACATAACATTAGAAAATATCAAAATGGAAAATCATGGTAAGATTTTAAAATGAATAAAAAAATGTCTAAAAGCCACAATTCAAGGCAAAGGCTTTTTACTAGAACTACTGAGGTGGAGTTAAGTATTAGTGATTTCATTTTCTCAAGAATCTGTTAAGAGAAAAAAGGATGGTCCATAATAAGTGGTTTCTTGATCCATGACAGTGTAAATGATATGAAAAGCATTTATCTTTATGGCACAGGGAACCCGCCACAGTTACGGGGATGGATGCTGATGTAGCATAAATGAAGTACAATTAAGAAATACATCCAAACAAATGGGTGCATTAGTCTTTGGTTATACCACTCAAAGTACGTAGGCGATATTTTATTTATACCATATTGCAGCTACAATTATTTTTATATAAAATTTGTACACACTCTTATATTTAATACAAGGAAAAAGCTCCAATACAGGCTGAAGCTGTCTTACCCAATTGGGTAGATACTTGTTATCAGGTTGCTCATATTTAAACTGAAAAGCACAAATCTGATGCACACTGATAAATACCCCCTAAAGTTACAAGTTCTATGCTGCTAGACTGGAAGTGGTCAAGCCACAGCGCCCACTGCTCTACAAAGAAAGATGTCCCACAGCATTCTGTGCATTAAATGATATGGCCATGGCGGGGGCATAAAAAAAACTGCTGGCTTATTGAACTTGTTTGAATTGCTCATGCAACTTCATTGGCCTTTATTTTTAATTAACTGCAATAATAACATTCTAAAAAAATCTTCTACATGTCAGAGCTACTATGATTCTCTAAATGATGCTCCTTGTTTTGGTAATGTTACTTTATATATCATCCACTGAGCTTGGTTTCTTCAGCACAGGCTAGAACACTCACCTGTAAGTCATATGGTTTCCCGCTGCGCACCAAAAAGCTAAGCAGAATGCTCGTGTGAGCAAAGTGCACATTTTCATCCAGGAAACCATGCAAGAGGAGCAGACGGCTTGGTCTGTAAGACATTGATAAAGACATTGTTTACACAATCCCAGTCTGCATAGAAATTGGTCAATAAGACGCAACAGGTCTCAAAATCAGCATAACAAAGGACATTACAAAAAACCCATTGAAGATGAATTACAGACATTTAAAGTAGAAAAAGTTATGCGCTATAATTAGCAAACCAATAAAAACTTACTCTGAAGGAAACTTCTCAGCCTGCATTGCCACTGAGCCCAGGTAATAACCATGTTCGTTTTGGTCAGGGTGACCCATGTACCTCTCTGTATATCCTGTGTCATAGAAGATCCAAAGTGTCACTGGGGCTCCAGCAATAGCCACCTGGGATACAAAAGGAGAGACAATAAAGCTTTAAAAGATGTGTAAAAAGGGATCTAATTTGTAAAAGCCCCAACTAAACAGATTCTATAGAAACAAACACTAGCAGAAAATGGCTAGAGAAATACATGCGTTTCCACACAGATACAAATTATTCTCATTCATATACACAGGTACGGATAGTTATCACAAATAAAGTTATCACAATTAAAACAAAACATGTAGCACAACTTACCTTAAATATATCAGGTCGCTGGATCAAGGCCATAAGGGAGAGGTAGCCTCCATAAGACCAGCCATGGATACCAACTCTATCGAGGTCTATGAAGCTGTGCTTGGCAGCCAGATACTGCAGCCCCTCCACCTGATCTTCTATCTCTACTTGGCCCTAAAAATAACAGAAGAGAAAGGTGCGAACAAGGATGAAATAAGGGTGAAGAAAAAAAAAATTATTTGGATGGGTTCATAAAAACATATGCTGGTTTTCAAAATATACCAGGGAGATTGTGGGCATGTAGAAAAGCTGCACTTATACAGCCAATAAACTGAACTTATAAGAGAGATTTGTAAAACTCATTCAGGCTAAAAACTGAGCATGTTATATTTTTTTATAGTATTTTTTAAAGCTGTGCACAAAAATGCTAATTTGAATATATTCCTCAATAACCACAAAAGGATATAAATCCACTTTGCAAAGGAAATAAAGCCACTGCAGGAGGGGGTGGATACAAGAACAATCCCCCTGAACAAGGAGAAGAGGAGCAGTGACCGGTCTTTAATACAGGAAGTTTGTTCACAGAGGTAAAGTCTCACACAGGTTTACTGCACTGGTGTGAAAGTAATACACGTCTCTTATTCCAGAGCTGAGTCTTAAAATATACAGTGGCATATTTTACAAGTTTAATTGCAAAATATAATTCATTTTATAGTACAAAAAATGTCTGGATTTCATCATCCAAAAATGTGCCCAGATATAAACTGGAAAAGAATAAAGTCAATGAATTTCTCCCCCTTTCTTACCATCTTGTACTTAAATGCACCTTCAAACTTCAAGCCACGGTGACAAGAACCACGATTATCAATGACTACAACTACATAACCAAGAGAAGCAAGGGTGTTCAGCCGGAAATACTTCAATCCCTTAAATCGATTGTTAACTAGTTGAACCTGCAGAAAATAAGGATAACAACATTATGCAGTATTATATCTATTAGTTGAACCTGCGGAAAATAAGGGTAACAGCATTATATCTACTGGTCTTGTAGATCAATGAGATCCTCTTTTCCTTCACAAAAATACACAACACCCTTACATACATAACTACAGATATCACTCGCAGCGCCATGTGAGACTAGGCTCTATTCTCTCCAATTACATCTCAGGTGCTGGCTTGATTCGTCTTCACCGAAGCAGTCACTAGCAACAGTAACAGGAATACTTCACACCATGGTGCAAAATAATGTTGTTCCTCTAAACAGCCAGAGGGAAGCAGCTCATACCCGACGCATTTGGCACTAAACACAGCGCTGTGCTCAGGGCGAACGAGTCAAATAAAAGCTCGTTCCTGCTGGCTGTTTAATAAAGGATCAACATTTTGCATCTTGGTGTGCTGTGTTCCCGATACTGCTACTACTGACCCTTTACATACAGGTAATTATTAAACGCTACAGTGGCCATGGACAGGTTACATTAGAGCTTTTCAAGATGGGAATAAAAAATTGCCTGTGCTTAAAGTGTAATGTGTTATATTGTCAATTCCCATATTTCCAAAGCCCCACAAAGTACCCAGGCAAAGTACCTGTATACAACACAATACCATCTCTTCATTTGTTATTTCAAAACATGAAGTGTTTGCAAGTCACCTGCACTCCATACAGGGTACAGACCTTCATCTTTGGATCTTGGTGCTTGAAGTGACAATACGGATGGCGCCATGTCACAGTACAGTTAATAATGGAAGCCACCACCACTCTATTTTGTGCATTAAGCATAAGCACTTTTATTCACTTGTCACCTGTGTCATCAAGCCAATGTTTTGGGACCATGCAGGGTCCCTTTCACAGGGGGACAACTGTCACTATGTCGCCCTGAGGAAGGGACCCTGCGGGGCCCCAAAACGTTGGCTTGATGACACAGGTGACAAGTGAATAAAAGTGCTTCTGCACAAAATAGGGTGATAATGACTTCCATTATCAACTGCTCCAACATGAAAAACACACACTTCACTTGAGATTAAGCTAGATTGTGACTTAAAGTGGGCAGAGGAATACAGGAGTAATGTAACATTTCAGAGTAATCCGTCCCCTTCCTAAGAAGAGGACGTTTGTCTAAGGAAGGAAGAGGATTCCCCTGAACTGTCACATCACTTCTGTATACCTCTGCAACATTTAAATTAAAAAAAAAAGTGTCATAGTTTAAACACACCAAAGTTTTGTGGTTTCATATTAATGCATCATTCCTGTTCGTGCTTGATTAACAACCTCGTAATTATTAACGGTAAGCTCACACTTACTTTGCTTAACCAGTTGACATCCGCGGTGTTAAACCCCCTTCCCATCCAGGCCATTTTTCAGTATTCAGCGCTGCGCTACTTTGACTGACATTTATTCCGTCATGCAGCGCTGTACTGAAATGAATTTTATACCCTTTCTTGGTGGTATTTATTCACCACTGGGGGTTTTATTTTTTTACTATATTAAAAGGAAAAATTACCGAAATTTAAAAAAAAAAAGTTTCCCCTATATTAAATGATAAAACATTTATTATTACCCAATTTTTTAGTAAAATATAAAAGATGGGGTCACGTCGGGTAAAAAGACACTAAACATGTCAAGCCTTAAAATTGCGTGCGCGCGCGAAACCTCAAAAAACGATAATACCCAAAATTGGCCATAGGCGACGCTTTAAAAGCTGTTACCGCTCATCAGTTTAGTGTTATCAGTGATTGATGGCCCTAAAATGATT